CTCTCTCTCTCTCTCTCTCTCTCTCTCTCTCTCTCTCTCTCTCTTTCTGTCTCTCTCAAGATATCAGTCAAAATGTGTAGCAACAATCTGCAGTTGCTGCCGCGAAGCTGATAGCGAATGATCAACGGCGTTTCTCGTCTATGATAAAGCCAAGTCGTGGTAGTTAGCCTAGGGAGAAAGAAAGAGAGATGTTTACTTCACGGTAGCACGATCGTATCGATGGATGATAAGCGCTTTTGGGGCCTCTGATACGATAGTACGATGCATTTATATGGTGCAGTGCCGAGGCAGTGATAGTGCAAGGTGATAGTGCTCGCGCGCGATTACGCTCGTTACGTATTTGTCGGGTGTTCTGTCGCATCATTAACACGATGCCGATATGTCACGGCACGTCCACAGAGTTATTTTGACCACCATCACTTCTGCGCTAACGAACGTTTTCTCTCGGAGGATTCCTCACGCGCATCGCCGAAACGTTTCTCGTCGGAGTGCGCTCGTGGAAATTCGGAAACGAAGAGATTTCGGAATTTCATGCGCGAATCGTCACGCAGAGAATCAGAAGGCCTCCGTTTCGCACCTCATTTACATCGCCGCGTGTATTACGTATTCATATGTCGTTTTCCATTTTATCGGGGAATTTAATTCCGACCTCGATTATATGCGAGCGATTCAGTCGATTTGCTGACGTTTTTGTCAATTTCGTGCCGATTTCGAAATTTGCGGATTAATTCCGCCGTTGTTGTTAGCGCCGTCATTTTTATATTCATCGTCGCGCCGCGCCTAATTTGTTGGCATCGGCGCGATAACGGCGCGAGTCGAGCGATGATAATTGAAATTCGACGTTATCGCGCGCGTTATCGATGCGCCCGTTTTGGAATCCACCTGTCCGCCGTTGACTTTTCAAGGGCTGATGATTCATGACCGATTTATTCAGCGCGCCGCGCTTATTAAGGGAAGATCGCCGAGCTGAATATCGCATATTAATATTTCCGTATTTCTGGAAATGCTTATCCAATTTCTGACAGAGAGAGAGTTCCGTTAATTTAATTTACCTAGAATTTTACCTAGAATTAGTTTGATGAAATACTCCACGTGAAAAAAAAGAGAAGGTAGAACGTTGTAACAGCGATAACGTCGATGGATCTGTCTCGGCTTAAATTATATATACATCAAAGACTCTGAAGGTATATATCTAATTAAGAAAAAAAGAAGGCCGTGCACTGAATGTGAATAAATTTTAAAGAACAATAATGGTTGGACTTCAACGTACGCAGTGAATCCAACCCTCTACGTCAAACCGATTCTGAGTTTTCTCAATTATTATTATTTATTTAATTCTCTCTTTTAAAGATCAAAAAGAAATGCGCATTTGTTTTAAAGGAAAGAAATTACTCAAATAATGATAATTGGAATAGAGGATCGATTAAACGTTATTATCCTTCTTTTAATCAGGAATGTGTTGGCGTTTGAAAGTTGTAAGCATGAATACGTACACGTGGCTTTATTAATGTCCGAATGTTTACTAGATGTAGAATTATTAGATATATTTAACTAACTGTGTCCCCTTCTGCATATACATCTATTATTACCGTTGAGTACCCGAGGAATCCGGAACGATGTTCGAAAGCAGCCATAATAGTTGGAGAGTTTGAGGTTTAGTTCGCATAAATAATGTTTCGTCCATTCATGTATGACGAATAATCAGCAGGAAAATGATACGATACGGTGAAAGTATATTCACAAAAGCTGGATGTTGGTATATAAACAACTAACTGAAATTACTCGACGTTGCTCGAGTTATCGCAGTGTCAAGGGAATGAAATCAGAGGGAGGGTGTCCAGGTTTTATAGCTTATCTTCCGCAGAGTCTTAAGACCCTACAATGGCTATAAGAATAAAAAATTAACCAATCACAGTCGAATGTGAAAAGAATAATCAACTATGATTGTTTAATTACTTATTCTTACAACTTACAGCCATTCTCTTACGGCCATTGTGACGGGTCTTTAGAGAATAACTAATGCAAAATTTAGGTTTTAAGAGTTTACAGGGAACAGATAGACATTATATTTTATATATGTATAGATAGATCTATTTTGTACATATGTAGATAAGTAAATCTTCCAAAAGTCGGCGCCAAAAAGAAGAGTAAGGGAATTGGAAAAATAAATTTATCACTCTCCTGCTGATTATGAGTAACGTATGAGCAGACGCAAAAACAAACTTACACGCACTAAACGTCAAACTGTCAAAGAATCACGGCTGCTTTTTGAAACATCATTTCTGATTTCTCAGATAATCAAGTCATGAGATCTGTTCTTTATAGCTAAGGTAGTGCACACTTTGTGCGCGAACTTAAAAAGAATCAGATATGATATAGTTGTGAGTTGATGTAAGAAGGAGAACTATACTGTAAAAACTGATGTGTTAAAGTTAACATTTCATATGTCCCATCCACTCTCATTTATGTGTAAATTTAACACAAAACAAATGTAAAAAGTAATACACATAATATATAAAAAATTAACACAAAAATTTAACACTTGAATACCGTCAGGAATCACAGTTTATTTTTAAATTAACATATTGTTAAATTGTTATTGTTAAATTGACATATATATAATGTTAACTAAATTAACTAAAATAAAACGTTACTTTAACATTTGAGAGAAATATTAATCTACGATTTTGATGAAATAAAAGTGTTAAATTGACATCTATCTATAATCTATGTCTGATACATTAAATATGTCAAGTTTTTTCCATATTATGCGTCTTACTTTTTAACACATTTGTTTTGTGTTAAATTTATATATAAATGAGAGTGGATGATTTGGGACACATGTGTTAAATTTGGGACAAATGTGTTAAATTTAACACATCAGTTTTTATAGTGTAGTGCAAGCTAGTGCAATCAGTTCAGCTACAAAGAACACACCAATGATGAATGCATAAATAGAAAGGGATACGGAGAGGAGGGATAGTTCAAAGTATCTGATACTTCTAGATCTAAATGTCTGAGATACTAATGAAGCCGCATGTATGCCATTATACCACTTCGGGATCCGAAGTAGAAGTCACCGGCAAAAAAGTTCCGAAATATACATCGGGAGGGTTGACCGGGACCTTCGTGGTTGTTCGTCAAGGTTATGTCTCCCTGACTATTGGATATCACGAGCGACTATTCTCAAGGGTATCCCCATCCCACGCAATTCGCCCAAACACTCGCTCGCAGGACCCGGTCGTGGTGACTTTTCTCAGGGTCGAGAAGTGGCCAACCCTTCGTGAACTTGCCGTTCTGTTGACGGATCGGCCCCCCGAAAACATGTATATGTATAACGGAGATCGCGCGTAGCGTCATTATCATCATCACGTGAACAATGCACGTGATTTTTTGCACGCCAAGCCGGCCCCACGGCTTAACCCCTCGATCGATCTGACCCGCGCCTCTCGATCTCACCCCTTGCACTCGTCGATCGCGCGTCGGCGTGTGCGTGGCGCGCGCAAATCCAATTAAAATTTCAATCTATCGTAGCTATTGTTCAACGAGCGCGAGATTAACGCCTTTCGGCTGAGTCCCGATTTTCACCATTTTATTTACCGGCACCGTTCGGCGAGCGCGAACTAAAATCGCGCCGTCTCCGCGGAACCGTTCATTCAATCAATTTCGGGACTGACGTTCTCGTCCCTGGCTTATTTCATCATTTGGAC